AAACATGCCAGAAACAACATTAAAGTTCCCAAGAAAAGAGGCAGAAATCCTGAAGGAAGTAAAGACTATGCCACTGCTGATGTTTAAGAAGCTAGAAAGTCTGAATATGGACAGAACTCGATAGCCAGATATTTATGACCAACCAATAGAAAGTTGTTCTTCATAGCACTAATCCCAAATTAAATAGCCAATGTGTCAATAGCAGCTTAGCTCTACCATTGTGTGCTTTGCTGCAGAGAAGAAGCAGGAGACAAGTTCTTTGCTGTGCCCCACAGAAAGCTTAGCCCGGAGCGGATGGAGGCACAGCAGTGCTTCAAGCCACCTTTGTACCACCCAGCTTTTGGCTGCAGGGACCAATGTGTCCCTGTATAAGTCAGAGCTGATCTAATTTACAGCCGCCTGATCCATGCTCCTCTGCATCCTCAAGTAGACCAATAATCCCCATAGTGCTCAGTACTACAGACACGCCTTCCTCCACCCCATCCCCCATTCCAGGAGCTGTGTGACAGCCCTACACTGCACCTGCACTGAAGATTTCTGCCCCAGCTGAATCTGGCATATTTACAGCCAATAAGTATCACTGGACTTGCTCTGATCTCTGAACCTGCTCTCACCCAGTGTAAGTGAGCTCCAGTGTAAGTGAACTCATAAAGGCTGCTCTAACTTACATTGCCTGTGTATGTTTCCCAAAGGATCACACCCTAGTGAAAACTGGCAAAGATCTGTTCCCATTCCACCTTACCATGATCTGCCCCTTGTCCACTGGGGTGTGTCAGAAGTGGGGGATTGGCATAGGACCTGGCTTCACCAACCTGATGCCAACTGAGACCTCCTCCCCCACCAGGGGAATTCTCAGGTGGGCAGTGCAAAGGGGTTGGAGAAAGGAGTGAGAATCTGGCCCATTTACATACATAGAAGAAACTCTGAAAACTGTAGAAAGCAAAAATGGAAAAATTCCCAAAGCAAAAAGGGCTTTGCTTCCTAAACCAGTTTGATGGGATAGGTATGAAACCCTCTGAGGAAACCCAAATACTTAAAAGCAAGAAAGTGAGTAGTGAAGGACACCGTAACACTTGCATAGCCCATGTAACAGACAACTAGGTAACTATGTTGTTGTCTCTGATATTTTAACTAGTTCATTGAAACACAATGTTGGGGGGAGGTGTTTTGTTTTGTAAGTATATAAGTTACTAGAGATGTATGGGATTTATGCCAGCCAGAATTCTGAAAAGCAAGAAAGATGTACCCATAACTAGCATCCATCCATACATGCACCCTATATATACACACACACATTCATATATAAATACATATCTGCACACACTCTTTTAAAAGAATAAATGCTTAGCTCTTAAAAGCTATTTGAAAACTGATGCACTAGAATGAACTATGAGAAAGCTAGTGCAACAGCTATGGCCCCGATTCAGGAAAGTACATGTTTAATTTTAGCAATGCTTCTAGTGCAGCACAGAGTCAATCTCCTCAATAGGGATGCTTTCCTGAATCTGGACTATATTATCTTAGAGCTTTTGAAGAAAAGATCCCCAAAAACTATAAAAATCTAAAAGTGGGCTACAGCAATAGGGAAAGATACGGGAATGGAATGTAGGACCTCAAAAGCTCTGATATGATTGAAGACAGAAGGATAAATTCAGAAATGGGAAATTCCATACCTAACACATCTTTTAAAAAAGCCATAAACATAATTTAACTGGACTTCAGGAAATCTTTTGATATACCCACGTAAATACAATAAATCAATAAAGGTAATTGTAAGAAATGAGGCAAGCTATTTAGGCGGATACAGGCCTGATTTGTGAATGGCAACAGTTTGTTGGTAAGAGAGCAGCGGACTGCCACAAGGATCAATACCAGGATAGATCTGACTCATTTATTTACATCAGTGGAAGAGTTAGAAGTATTTTGCACTCAGATTAGCACACAGTTGGCTCACAACTAAATCAATAAAAAAGGAGGAGCTTGATGTAATTGAAAAGAGATCTGAGGTATAGCAACTGTAGGTAAGTGGCTTCTCCAAATAACTGTAGAAAAAGGCAAGGGCAAATGAACAAATATATACAATTAAAACTTAGTATTAATATCTGTACAGTGCAAAACACTGGATAGGAGGAGTATATAAGGATAGTGATGGATAATACTCTAAAACTTCAGTATAGTGCTCAGTAGTATTTGCTTACTGTATACTTTCAATTTGCACCTTCCAAAACTCACTCTACACTCTTGTACAAAATGCAAATTATAAAATAAAATTCAAAATGATACAATGTCAAACTCCCCATTCATCTTCCTCTCACAGGTGAGCCAACAGGCTGTGTAACACGCTATGAAGATCAGATGATTTAAACTCTGTTTAGCCAATGTTTTGAGGAAAAAGTTTTGGATGACGGTAACTCTAGAATCAATTCCATTAACTATTGGAAATGCCCTGCCACCAGCCTACAGTCTCACAAAATGGGCAAATAAATCAAACAAACTTCTGGGATATTAAAGCAGAAATTTTCTAGATAAGTGTAAGGAAATTTCTCTGTCATGATAAACAGAACCAGTGAAACTGGATTCAGAATACCACAAAGTTAGTTGTTTCGGTTTGCTTTTTGTTATGGAATTGTAGACAAAGTGAATGCTAGGCAACCAATACAGGGAATTAAATATTTTGGTTATTCAAACTTCAATGGAATCTAGGCTCTTATTCTTTGAAAATAAAAGGAAATTAAGAGTACAGCTCAATAAGGAATGTAGAGTTTTGGATAGACTAGAAAGCATATCTGTTACAAGGCTATTTGAACTAGTGCCAAATATTATACAATATTAACTGGGCATGAACTTAAAAGTGAAACTGGCAAGGTACTGGCGCAAAAACCTGCATATTGTTTTCCTCGTGTTCACCTCTTACATAACACATCAAATATAGTACATGCAAGGGATACAAAATGAAATAAGACAAAATAAATTAAATGAATGAATACATTAAATACATTTTTAAAAAATCAATGTAAACACCCAGGACTCATGAGCAACTTTATCAAAATAAATAAGTCTGTCTGTGTGAGAGAGAAAGATCTCAAATCCAATCTTCCAGAGGACTGTCATAAATGGCAAGGGAAAAATATTATAATTAAGACACGCACATTGATTGATCCCTTATAAAACCAAACAAACCATGAGCATTATGGAGTTTTGAGCAAGGAATTAAACTAAATATCAGTCAGCAAGGCGTTAATAACATATAAATGAGAACAGTATGTGTAACTAATATTTCTACCTTGTTTCAAATAACTGTACAAGTAGATGGTGAAAGATGTGTTTTTTAATTAATGCAACTGCACATTAGACTGTATTATCACTTTTAATGTATGACTAGAAGAATTAATTGCACATCTGTGAAAAGATATCTAATTTTGCAGAGGAAGGTAATACCATACAAAACGAGTGATGCTCAAACACACCACACATAAAGTAACTGTTAATCACATAGGGTATATTTTTCTGGTTTTTAAGGAGTCGTTGACAAATACTTAAAATACAAGTTGCTTGTTTAGAACAAAACATTCTTGTGATCAAAAAATTGGCACTTCAATCACAGGCAATTAGTCCTAAAAGCATCTTTGTAGGACAAATTCCCTGAGCCTTATGACAGTGAGTATCTCCTAAGGAGAGGCAGCCTCAAAGAAGCAAACTAATTTCCTAATTCTGCAAAGAGATCCATGTTAGCATAAAAGTCCATCCACATGAATCACTTTGCAAGCACTGGTTCCCAATCTGTGTCCCAGGGACCACATGCTGGCAGTCTACGGAGGTCTGGCTGGTCAGGTGGTACTGGATCTCTCTAATATCATGTAGCAGCTGAAAATAAAGATGGCTCAGATGGACTACATTTATATACTTCTGTTCCTGTAATTGCCAATTGCTATCTGGTTGCTTAAGGGACAGGAGGTAATATCTGCATTTGTGGATGAGAAGGGTGCTGGTCCACAAGACAATCTCTCTATTAAAATGAGGTTCACACTGTGAAAATATTTGAGAATCCCCATTTTGCAGGAGCAGAGCATAAAGTAGCATAACAGCACAATCATGGGGGGGAAATGGTTTATCGTGACTTAAGTACTGTCATATTGGAAGTCAAGGATTGAGAGTTATTTAAGTGAACATGGACCTATACTTCAGGATAATGCTTGCCCATGTGCACCCAGGCTAACACACTGGAAAACAGCTCAATCTCATATACAATACATGCATTCTTTTCATGATCGCTACATCACCATTATTTTTTATTATTCTTCCATCTTTTTGCAAGTTTTTTATTTTTTTAAATGCAACAACCACTTTAGCTCTTTTGCACTTCAAGGAGCTTATCTGTTATTTTTCTGCTCAAGTAGCTCAAAATGTGACAGACTAAGTGTACGGGGGAAAAAGACTTTATATGGGAAAAATCCTCAATATCGCATACATCTATCATAAAGTAATCTTATCAGAAATCTCCATTAAATTTCCTCTCTTGGTTCTGACTGTTATGAAGTACTAGCATCATTACATAGTATGCAAGTGTCTTTGAATACTACTTACATAGTTTACTCCACAGCTGTTTTTTAACTACCTACCAGTAAAATAGTTTAGTTATATAGGATTTGTTTAGGCAAACAGAATGGTAATTAATATTATCAAATCAGGTTTCCTTACATATCTCCCCATGTTTTCATTAAAAAAAATAAACGTTGGCAGTACAAGCTTACTACAATGCACCATGTATAATGTCTCCTGCCTCCACAACAAATTAGCAGACATTCATTCTGAAACATCTCAATTCAAGGTCTATGGGCCCAATATCCAAATCCGACAGACAGACAATCGAACCTTTGATGGTATTAGTATCACTTAGATGATACTATCATTGTGCTGCACACAAACTGCTTGCAGCTGTTCTCTAGTAAGTTATCATGCCTTCAGCAATCACAAATTACATTGTTTGTGTATTTTCCTACCTGCAAAGGGAACAGGAGCATCCTTATCCAAAGCAACAAGAGGAGGATCCAAAATGACAGTATCATTGTTTTCAGTAATGACTCCGTGATAGGAAGTTTCTATCCATGGCTTGTGTTTGTTCACTAGAAAACAAAATAAAGAATGTATTTAACTCATTTGATACATTTCTCATCCAGCTCATTTAGTATATTTTTAAAAGGAAACAGTACTGTAGTATGTCACTCATTATGATATTAATATTATTAATACATAACCACTTTATGTCATACAACCCATGTACTGTAGATATCATATCCAGTTTACTGGTGAGGAAACAAACAACTAGGAACATTATGGTCCAGGTTTTCAGTTGGGCACAGCTCCAATTTAGGTATGAAGAAAAATTGCCAGATTTTCAATACAGGACAACCCTGGCTGTACCTGACACAATGAGAACTCCTGGATGCTAAGTACATCCAGTCAAAGATTTTCTGATGGAACAGGTTTTCCAGTTGGAAAATGCTGATTTGATAGAATCTAAACGTTCCATGGGAACGTGTCAATTTGTTAAACCTTCCAATGGAAACTAGGCAGGCAGCAACCCACAACTAGCCTGGGTGCCTAGATTTTTTTGAAAATTCCTTTTTGTGGGCAATTTTAAAGATTTTTGAGGCTTCACTCGCACTCAGACCAAAACACAAATGCTGAAGTTTTTCATTATGACAAATTTTCTTTTTTCAAACCAGCTCTAGAACTTTTGAAAATCTGGCCCTCATTTAGATGGCTATATGGGTGCAGAGGTCTTTCTGAACATCTGGGCCCCAACTGTTATTAAGCATTTCACATTCTGATCCCACTGGAAGCTTATGACTAAGGTGGGAAGACAACATGAAGTATCTGACTGGGAGTCAGGAGGTTTACCACCACACACTTTCTTCTCCACTATTTGGTATAAAGAAGATAATGGTCATTCACTTTTGCTTTTTAATAGCTAAAAGAAATGTTACTAATAACTTTTGTCTACAAACAGTATTTAGCCTCCTAAACCAAAATCTGAATGTTCTGTTTTGGGAGCTTCTACAGCGGACTTACAGTGGAACTCAAATAAATTAATAACTATTAGAAGATATTTCCCAAGCAACAAGGAACAACATATTTTCATCATTGGACTTTGCAAGTTCTGATACAAGTTACTTTTCAAACATATTATTTGTGTACCAGATATTGGTGAGAACATCTGGTGGGCTAACAGAAATGCCTTCAACCAAAATCTAGGGTTGACTTGTAAAGCAAACACAAATAGGACCAAATGGGATCATTTACAATAAATCTACCACCAAAATAATAATAATAAATAAATAATAATAATCATAATAATAATAAAATCCCTAATTTTACGAATAACACAGGTCCTAAATGCCTTGTCCTATGATAAAACACACAGGAAGGAACAAGTGTCTGGGGAGGTTGCCCTAATATATTTCCTTCAAATCAAGAGAGTCAGTTTTAGATACCTGCACTGTTACATAGAATAGTTGCTGGTCCACAAAATGTGTAGGGTACACAGGAGGCCGGGGCACCCATGCCTCCACACTAGCTTTGGGGTCTGGCTGGCACAACGAACCACATCCCCATAAAAGATTATCTCAAAATATGAAGGGGGGGGGGGTGATGATATGCAATTAGATTATGATCACCTAACCCCCTGGACCTGTCTACTTTTCACCCACCACTTGTCACCTCCCTCCACATGGATCCACATTCTAACAGATAAATCCAGAGGGGTGCTGGAAACAGTGCCGAAAAGGGTACATTCTTCCAAGCGGGGGTACAGTCAAGCTCTATGGATGATCTGAGCAGGTCAGCAATCCTTATAGTATTAAAAATAAGCTGTCAACAGTCCACTTCTTGAAAACATTATGGTCTGCTAACTTTTGTTCCTGCTGACACATTCATTAGAAAGGCTTCATAGTTACAATCTCATTTTTCATTGTTTTTAATGTATTAACTTAAAATTTTGTTTTGTTCAGTTAGAAAAATTATATGCCTTGCTGCTTTAAAGTCAGCAACATCACACAAAATTGAATGAGTTCATGAGCACTGCTTCTTAGTTAATGTATCATCAAAGTTTTAAAAATATTAGCACTATAAGTACAATAAAGAAGGCCTGAGGCACATCACCACCATAAGCCTTTCCACTAGAATTGTGCAAATAATGGATTTTTTTGATCACTAACAATTTGGAAGAGTCAAAAAAAAAAAACCCCTTCAGGTCAAAACATTTTGTTCAACCCAAGACAAAACATTTTGACTGAGTTTTAGATATAGAATTAAGGTAGTTTTAAAACATAGTCATTTTGAATCAAAGAATCACAACTTTTGAAAATGCTAAAACAAAAAACATTTTAATTTTTTTGAGATTTTTTTTTACTTAAACAATTTGGTTAAACTAATTTGAATTCACAAGATGTTCTGGTGTCACTGAATCTGCTTTTTTCAATCAAAAAATGTTTTTCACCAAAACGTTTTTTGCCCATCTCTACTTTCCAGCTTGCTTGGGTACAAGTCTGCAAATAGCCTTGCAGGTACAAAGACCATAATCATTCACAATGTGCCAATTTGTAGAGTAGTATGTTTTCCTTTACAGTGTTTGATTACACAGTTTGAAACTGGAGCACCAATTGATTCAGATCCCTTTCTATCTCAATGTCTGCAACCCAGACGCAACTCATAAAATGCAGAATTAATTGTGTGGGTAGCCTGGCTCTTTGGAATTAAACTGGTTAGTTGACGTGACCAAAAATGCGATGAAGGCCAACGGGCCTGTAGGGGTTGCAATGTGAGAGGTGAGAGCTTTATTATCTGTGTACTACACATTTGGACTCCAATATGTAGGATACTGGAATTATACTGTATTTTTATCTGAATTTGTGAAAATCCTGAACACATACATCCATACATATTAATTATTATGATAGCATCCAAAGGTCTTGATTGGCATTGGGGGCACCTCTCTGTAGGCACTATACAAAAAAAAGGAGATGCTTTTTGATTGACAGCAGATAAAATCTATCAATAACCAACCACTAAGTGGGAGTTCACATGAAAAATGAAATCTCTGTACAGTACACTTTTCTGAGAATGTGTGTACCCAAGCCAGCTCATAATTTTGTTGTTGTTAAATTGCTGTCTGAGTTCCCATAAAATAAATCTTCTCTTTCAGCTTTTCTAACCATAGGTTTGGGCACATATTGTTGATGGGAGTATTTAACAAATTGTCCTAGAATTAGTTGATTACTCAAGTGATTGGAAATCTATTGCCTTTCACTTTTCCCCTGGTATGTGCCAGTATTGACAGTGGTCAATGGTTGACCATGGTCTTATCACCCACATTTCCCCAAAAAAAGGGTCTTGTACTCTATATAACTTCTACAACACCCTGACTTCCATCAGGAACAATTAGTACAATTTAGCCCAAAAGTTGGGACTGGGTGGGGGAGAGAGAGGGAAAGCCAAGGGACAAAACAAAAATACTACTTCAAAATTATTTGCAGGCAGTTTACAATGTGCATCTTTTTAAAACCATTCTAAAAGCTTCAGATAATATGCCTTTTATGAATCTGAAAATAAATTATTTAATCTAGCTATTTTAGAGCAAAATTATTCTTCAGTAGCAGAAGACCTATACTTCTAAAACAGTTCCCCATAACTAAAAACAGGCAAGCCTTTTCTACTATTTGTGCAATTCTAGTTTTAGAATATGGAATACATAATATTGGAATTACAAGTTGGTACCTGAGTGTAGCTTTTTTCTCTTTTGTAGGCAAAGATGTCTCATTCAGTAGTGAACATATACTCCAATACACCTTCATAATATGTGGTATTTAAATAATATATTTTTTCTTAATTTGTGATCAGTGAATACATTTATTCTCTAATATGGAAAAATCAGTTTCAGGATATCAGAATAATACTAGCCCCAACATAACGTACACATTTCAGACATCTTTGAGAGTCTCCCATTCATACACAGCATCCTTGTAGAAATGGGATTTTTTTTTTGAACAATGAACAGATTTTCATTTCAAGCCTTGTGAAATGCATATATTTAATTATACATTTTCTTTTCTTCCAGTTGCCCTTATCTTCCAAGTATACAACGTTTCTCATCTTCATTTCATGCTACATTTTCTTTTACTTTAATAATATTAATATATTTTAGACAAAAATCTCCAAAATAAGTCATCTGCCTACTATTCCCTCTCAGCAATTATAGCATGTGTTCTAAATCATGTTTTTTACGTGTACTTTAAACAATATTTCCTTTTATCCTCTAGTTTCCCTGTGTCATATTTTCTAGATTGGATCCTTCTGACCCATCTTGGATAAATAATGTGAGTTTGAACTACAAACAAAAGAAGATTTTTTTTTCCAATGTAGGTCTCATCCCATTTACAGATTTACCACAATATCTAGAGTTCTGCGACAGCAAACAGAACAGGGCTTTGAGAGTCTTCCCAACAGCGCAAGTTTCTTCTATTAAATGAAATTCTATTAAAAAGTCTTACCATCTAAAACAGCAGAAGAATCCAATATGGTGCAGGAATAAGTAGTAATCTTAGTTAATGCTACTACTTAATTTTCAGAGAAAAACATATGCCTGAAAGAGCCCACTAGTATTACAAGAAAAAAAAATCAATCCACTAAATAAAAAATAAATGTGATGCATTATATAATCCAACAATTAATTTAAATACATCTTTTTATGTTATGAGATTGGGAACCTTTATGTATAAAATAGCTTGAACAAGTTCATTCATGTCAAAACTAATGTGCCTTAGTACTCCTTCCGACATATTTACTGATAAAGTTAATTACAGCACCATTGGAATAAAATGAAAAAAACAAACACAAGCAACACTTTCAAAAGCACAGCTACCATATCTTATCTGCCTTTGAGTTGAGTGGATAGTGTGCTTTCAAGATGGCATCTGCAAATTTCAAGTTTAGTGTATATTATAGTATTGCATATATAGTGGATTTTATTGTATCTACTCTGACAAGCAATTAAATCACATTTTCCTCCAGACTTTTTATGAGTTTCTGTAGCCTTGTGCTATCTAGCTAACCGATTAATCAAGGA